ACTGAATTTGAAGCTAGCCTGGTCTACATGGTGATTTGCAGGCCAGCCAAGGCTACATAGTGAGACCTTGTCTCAAAAATAGATTAAATAAGTAAATACCCATTATCTAATGAGTAATTGCATTAATGAGTAATTAATGAGTAATCTAATGAGTAATTGTATTGACATACAGTAGAATGCACCTTTTCTAAGGTGTGCAGTCAGGTGAGTTTTCCTGTGTGCACAGTCACACCACCAACATTACAGTCAACAGATAGAGAGCCTTGCCACGCCATGCAGCCTTGTACTTGGCTTCATTTTATGTTTGCAGATGATGTTTGCAAAGGAGATTATCCAAAGGAAAAGATGATCTGATATGGTAAAAAATGTCTGAGAAGTGCTGGTTGGCCTTGGGGTATTATCTTCCTGATTCTCTCCCCCCACATCTAATCTCACTTCTGGTTACTACACATAGGGCCTAAAAACAGTGAGCCCACTCAGTGTCCAGATCTCTGGTCCTCACTACTGTTCCTTAGGATAGTGGAGTAGTTAGTGTTCTCTGAGCAAGTGGCTGACTTAGAGTGGGGACTGGGAGGAAAAGTTGAACCTGGAACATCTCATACCACAAGGCTATGTTCAAATAATGGTAGAACGTGTGGAGGTCCCTTCAAAAGGAACAGGGACCAGCAGGCTGTTCTGGTCAGGTTTGGGCAATCCAGTTATTAAGCATATACATAGTAGTAAGTTATAAAACTTAAATTCGTGTGCCTGCAGTGATGTTCAGGAAAGGAAGATGGAGAAACAGGGAGACTCTTCCTTACAGAGAATGTCAATTATAAACATAGATGGAAGTCTAGGAGGACAGTCTGGGCTACATAGCAAGATTGTGATTCAAAATAATATTGATTGATTGATTACCAGAGGATCATAATATCTAAACCTCATTCTAGAATTTAAAGTTAGTGGTAATATCACACAGTAGAAGAGTCACTTCAGATTATTTTCTATTAGTGAGAAAACATGTCATAAGATGAGATAAGTCACCCACCTTAAATAAGCACCTTCACCGAGTGGGACATCCGGATGGATGGGTTCCAGTGAGGCAAATAGGACTTGAGAGGACTCCTTGTCAGGATGCCGAGCTTGTGGTACAAGGCTTCGATTGTACTGGGTGTGGGAACTGTAAATACTTGAGAAACAATTAGAGAAATATAGTTATGCTTAAATATTAGATTACATTACTGTTTTATAGTTATTTTTTTCTTGGGAGATATAGACAGTCCTAATTGCTGCTCAAGTGTCTGGGTTAGGTATTTTCGGTATGTAATCTGATTCCCAACAGCTGACTGATTAGTGAGGAAACACCTCCAAAGTGTTGCTCATTTGCAGAAGTTCTCTTTGGCACATTGCTTTGCTTTCTGTCAAAGGCGTCCAGTCCGTATTTCTGGTGAGTGTTTGATTCAGTGATGAAGCTTGGTTCCTTAAAGCCAAGTCTGTTTGAGACCCTTAGGGATCATTATTTTTACATTGTTCTCCAGTCCAGATTCAAGCTAGTGTTCATTTGTGATTGATAGATTTTACACCATGTTTGGTGGTCGTCTATACTGAGCAAGCACAGACTACACTACAGTGAGGAATTCTATCAGAGCAAATACACCGTGCACCTTCATGGTGCTTCTGCAGGACCATGGGATTGCAGAGTCCCTGAAATTTGTTATGCTCACTTCCTTTCCGCTCTCTTCTCAACCTGAACAACACCCTACCCAGGTGGCATTTTAAATCCATATGTGAGGAAAGCCTAACTTCTTAATTTTAATCTAACAAAATTTCTTTCCAAGCATGTTTGTAAATAGCTCCTTAAATTCTTTACTGCTGCTCCTGGGGAAAAAATTGTGAATGAAAGGGCTGCGTCTTTCTGTCAGGCAGTTGTAGCTTCAGGACAGGACGAGCAGACCGGTATAGAAGGGAACCATTAGAGGCTAAAAGGCTAGCAGGTCCTGGCCCTAGCCGGCTTATCTCCAGAGACAACACCGAAGGACTTGGAATTTGGTCAGGTAAGGACCACACCTAGAGCTATGACACAGCCTGTTCATGTCTGAGAGTAGCTTCCCGGTGACAGTCAGCCTCCCCATTTCCCTCAAAGTGATCCTTTCAGAGCTTAATCCTCTGAGCATTTTCCATTTTGCCTACAATTGCCACTGGTCCCCTTTCACCTTTGTCCCTCTCTTGGACATCCCTTGAGGTTAAGTATCTATGTTCTTGGGACAGGGATCCTATGGACTCCATTTTGCACCTCTTCTCTTTGCCTGGGTTCCTCATAGCCTCTCAACATGTTGCCCAGTGCTTCTCAATCTTTTAAAACAACCTTACTTGGCAGGTGACAGAGTCCCACAGCATCTCCCGTTATTCAGTTGGAAGTCTTCCGAGATGACTGTGATTATTGTCTCCTTCACACTGCATTAGCTCCTCAGGACCCAGGAAGCTTTTTCATTGCCATTAGTTGTGCTTGTGTCAGGCCAGGGCTGCCTTACTATCAGATGACAGAGTCATTCGTTACCCTTTCATCTAGAGCAGTGGTCTCAACCTTCCTAATGCCACAGCCCTTTACTACAGGTCCTCATGTTGTAGTGATCCCCAACCATAACATTATTTCATTGCTACTTTGTAACTATAATCTTGCTACTGTTATGAATCATAATGTAAATATGTAATATTTCTGATGGCCTTAGGTGACCCCTGTGAAAGGGTAATTCATACTTCTTCCCAAAAGGGTTTGAGGCCCACAGGTTTGAGGGGCTTAAGGGGGTTTAGGGCTCAGCTGCACCTTGAAGTAATGGATCAGAAATGTAGATTTGGAGCTGTAAAAGATGGCTCAGCAGTTAAGAGTGCATGCTGGGGGGCTGGAGAGATGGCTCAGCGGTTAAGAGCACTGACTGCTCTTCCAGAGGTCCTGAGTTCAAATCCCAGCAACCACATGGTGGCTCACAACCATCCGTAATGAGATTGGATGCCCTCTTCTGGTGTGTCTGAAGACAGCTACAGTGTACTCATAAATAAAATAAATAAATCTTAAAAAAAAAAAAAAAAAAGAGTGCATGCTGCTCTTACATAGGGCCCAGGTTCAGCTTCTGCCCCCAAATTAGGTGGCTCTCAACCACTTGTAGCTCTAGGGGATCCTGTGCCCTCTTCTGGCATACACACAGACACAAAAATAAAAATAAAATACTTTTTAAAGATGCTGAATTGGTATCACCAACCCAGAATCAGAAACCGTTGATGGACTTCCTGGTGCAGTCTCCCTGGGAAATAGTCCACCTACTGACCTAGGGGTGTTCCTGTAGCATTTCCCAAGAATTTACGTCATGTTTCTGATTTGAAGTGATGAGTCCTCGAGGCTAGCATGAGCATCTGGCAGCCCATCTTAGGAGACTTCATTGTCACCTGCTCAGGACTGCAGAGTCCCAGTCAGAACTGCAGCCTCACTCTTCCATACAGTGCTTACCTTAGGTGCCAGGATCAAGTTCAGGTGAGAGTAGAGCTCAGCGTCAGTCTTGACTTCTGTCACCTGCCAGGGAGAGCCAATGGATGCAGTGACCCTGGCGCACACCTTTAACCCCAGCACTCAGATCAGCCAAATCTCAGAGTTTGAGGCCATCCTGCTTTATGTAGTGAGTTCCAGGCCATCCAGGGCTACGTTGGAAAGACAACTCCCGCCCCCAAGAATATGAATACATATATGTATATACATTCAACTCAGTGTTTGTTATATTACCCCATGATGTCTTGCTTGAAGTCTGAAACTATGATAAAATAGTGTTATTTGGACTGTTCGAGATAACACAGTGGCACTGTGCTCCAGACCCCTCTAACCCGGTAATTATAACCACGTTGTCAGTGGAGGGAGTGCCCTGGTTGTACTTTCAAGACCCATCTCTGTCTAGTCTGCATCCTACCTGCTCTTACTAAGGTTACTGTGGCTAAAATGGCCAGGGGGTTGTTTTTGACAAAGGAGCATATCAGAAAGGAGCACACCAGGTTCTGGGATTGACCAGCAGCCAGCTGTTCTTTGGCCAGGGCTACTTCTATTTCTGTGTATTCTTTGTCTCTGGCACAGAACTTATCAGGAGGCTGCTAGATCCCTACTTCATGAGCCAGACCACTGGCAAGGCTGTCTGGGGCATCTAAGGATGTGTGTTTAGCCTCCTGGTCCTGCAGACAGCAGGAACACGATTTGTACTTAACCCTCAAATACTGTGAAAAATAGTAATTAAGTTCTTATGCTAACTGTTAATTTAACTAACACAGTCTACATTTCCAGTAAAAATAGCAAAATCATTGTGATTTGATTAGTTGCATTCAGTTTGAGAATGTGGGTAGGAGATTTAATGGGGAGTTTACCAAGTTTCTGAACTCTTTAAAATGTATTAGAATACTTTTAAGTATTTTATATGATTAATCAGAACATTTATTATATATACTCTCATATTATAACTTACAACTTTTTGGATACATATAGATCATTAATATGGCTTTAATATTTATCTAATGACTAAGACAGACTTTAACTCTCAGAATGAAGCAATGGAATAATGAATGAGAATTGGAAACTGAGGAGGAGGAAGAGGAGGAGGGGGAAGAAGAGGAGGAGGAGGAGGGAGGACATACACTGGTGTTTATTAGGGATTCCATGAGCTCAGCAGGAAAGCAGGAAGCCCAAATCCCTACTGACTCACCTCCAGGGGGAGAGAAAACAGTAGCAGGAACTGGTATTGGGGTGTTAGCACTGACTACAGGAGTCCCCTGGAAGTGCCCGAGGCCAGAGCAGCAGGAGCAGGGGGGGATGGAAGAAACTAGTGGCTCCAGCTATGTGCTGTCAGAGATCATGACAGAGATTCTTCACAGGTGTAGCTGTGTTACTCATGTGCTGCGTGTCTATGGAAAAGACTGTTAAGCTGTCAAATAGTGAACTACCTCGGTAGTTCCCGATGCCGTGATCATGGTTTTGGTCTCGTTTCTTTTAGGTTACCCCTGTTTCAGGCCAGTGCTTTTGCATTTTTGGCCCCTGCTCGAGCCATCCTGTCTTTAGATAAATGGAAATGTAACACCACAGGTAATTGCAGTTATTTCCACATATGTCATTGGGGTCCTTTAAAGCAGGTGGAAAGGGGGCCTGGACACCTGCCAATAACAGCGTTCCTTCCTGTGTTGAGCGTAGAATATACCAGCCCGTGAGCAGCTTAGAATGCTCCAGTCTGTGGACCGTGCCTGTTTCTGTCTTTACATCTCCTCTTCATCCCTAACCCTAGGACAAGCTAGGGCCAGAAATGACCTCATTTCTGTTTGCCAGTGAAGCTGATAGACACGGGGATAGGATGAAAATGTTTGTGCTGTTTTCCTGCCTCTCTCTTTCAGTGGATGTTATACCTACCATAGTCACTCTCTCGCTACATCAGCATCCCTTCTCTGAAACGTCTTTGCTTTTTAAGGATCTGGCTACTGTGGTTTTCTGCAGGTGACTTTCATTCCCCTTCGTAGTGATTGCAAAGATCCTTACGGAACCTGATAAACTCAAGTTGATGAGAAAATCAGACTTGTACTCTCAGAGTAGTTTACATTTTGAGGTTCTAGGAGTCAAGCTTTCCTGATTTCCTTGCCGTCCCTGTTCCTAGGGGTTACTTTGTGACCAGTGATTTTGATTTAGGAACTGGAAAAGGCCCTGCTTTATCTAGATTTTTAAACCTCAGCCCAGCAGCTTTGCTTTTGGGCATTTCAGGTAGCTGTTTGCAAAGAGTGGTTTCTGTGAAGCTGGCACTGGCTGGTAGCACCACTTCAGTCAGCCTTTGACACACTGAGAAGCTCTGTCAACCAGTACTTTTGGTTACTTAGTATTGGAAGTCCATCTCCAAGTATAAGCCCTACTTTCACAGGTTGAGCTTTAGGAATTGATACTTAATGCAATGAAGAAATTATTAATGGTTATAGTAAATATTGAAACATTAGTGTCACTCCAAGAAAAAATCTCTTTCCTTTTTGTTTTCAAGAGATTACAGTTGCCAATGGGACAGCAGAGCTGTTGGAACACATTTGGCATCCCCGGATCCAAGAGGTAAAGTATAAGCACTGGCCACTCGTGTCGTCTACCCCTGGTGCTGATTGTGCCCAACAAGCTGCAGTTGCTTTTATTGAGTGCATTTTGTTTCCAACTACTGGAATGCCTATTTCTACTGTCTGTTGAGCTTTGTGTTGTCGATCCCCAGGCCTGCCTACTTGTATCTTCCGGTGTGGTGGCTGAGGCTTGCTGGCTCTCAGAGAAGAGAGTCTGGCTGCTTTGTGTCTGTGTGTTATTAGCTGTCTTGTTGCTGTGTTGTAATGTTAAAAACAGCTTGAATGGAGAAAACTCAGTGTCCAAGACTTTGTCTATCACGGTGGGGAGGCCATGTTTCAGTTCATGGCAGCCAGGAGAGAGCAAGGAACACAAGAAGGGAGGGGCCAGGGCAAGATAGAGTTCCCAGACAGACATCTCAGTGTCTGCTTCCTCCAGCTAGGTCCCATCTCTCAGTAATGTTCTCATGTTATGAGCTGTCCATTGACTGTTTGTCTCTGGAAGCAGCATGACAGACACACCCAGAGGTGAGCTTTACTAATGCGGGCATCTCAGAACAAGTAAGGTGTTAGTCACACCTGTTTGTTGAAAGAACTAAAGATAATTTTGGGGGTCAAAGTGCACTTGAGCAGAGCTGATTGAAGCTGTCCCCAGGTATAGAAATGCATGAGTGCATATATATTCATAGTGTCACCATGAAATCTTTAGATTTAGTACAAATGTCACTTTATGTGACAAAGACTTTTTTTTTTAGAATTTTTGTCAGTAACTGTCTTTTGGATGTCTTTCGGGGGCTTGGTCTTTTAAAAATGTCTATATTGAAGAACCTCACAGGTCTGGATTGACAGTATGCTCATCTGAGAGCTGAGAAATCTGTCCATCTTACCCTGCAGTGGAAAAAGCAGCAGATTTGTCATCAGTTCCCATTTCTGCAGTTAACCTTATAACAGTGATGTCATGTTAGTGTGCTAGTCCTCATTTATCTCAGCAGTGATGTCATGTTAGTGTGCTAGTCCTCATTTATCTCAGCAGTGATGTCATGTTAGTGTGCTGGTCCTC